GAAAGTTCCACTAATAATTCCACTAGCAGAGTTTGAGTGATCACATATAAGGACTTTGCTCCATTTACGGCTCGCCCCTGATCATTTCAATGATATCCTCCACTATTCCGGCCTCAATTGCGTGGTGCACTTGTCTGATGGAACCACACAGTTATCTGCTGAACAACGGCAGGTCTCCGCAATTCAAAACTTGCCAAAACACATTCAAATGCCTCTGCGAACTTGTAAGAATTCATATGCGTGGCGCAGCGCAGCGTCTCTTCTCCAACATTCCGAGCAAACATCTATATGGGTATGTGACCGCTAACTGGTTCATTTTTATTGTTTAAGTAGGAGGAAAGTCTTTTCAAAGATACGCAGTCTCGATCAATAACTTTTTGGGATGCGCCACGCCTTCTAGTTTCATACGGATCGCAATGGCATTTGGAAGCGATTTGACGTATCCTGAGCCTCATGGGCCTAGCTGATCTACAAGTCACAATTTTTGTCCTCCTGGGCAGGTGTGGCGCCAGATGATCGACACGAGGATAGAAGGCCTATCGAAACCCGATCCGGAGCCGTACACGTGGAGAGCGGCGCCTTTTGTCGCTACACCACCGCTTCCCCTAATTGTTATTTTACTAATCAATTCAGTCAGGCGAAGAGCTCGGTTAATCAGCGGGCTCCTGATAGCTGAACGGTGTTGAAATTTGTGGCAGTTATCTCAATATTCAGATTATTTGGAACCAGGGCCAGTAGGCGCCCGCATCTTTCCAATTACACGACCCCCTCCCGCTTTAGGGGTCTCGTTACGACCCCTCTCTAAAATTCACAAATGTGTCTCTATTGGTTCGAATAGCGCAAACGGAGAGGTGACCCTACTTGGGAATGATCCTTGCGGTTCAAAAGGAACTAACGGAGCTATCATTGATAAGTACCCAACAGAAAGGCCTGATGACTGATATAGTAATCAATATTCAATAATAGTATTTTTTCCTTTCAGCGATCCCTTGAAAGTCAAAAGCTGCTGAATAATAGGATATCCGTTTCGCTGTGAACCTCCATTACATCGCGCGTGCCAGCTGCAGCGTCGCGGAGGTGATGTGAGGGCGTGGAAGTGGTGGAGTTTACGGCGAATCCCAGGAAAAGTGCGAGAATGCGTGGTGGTGGCATTACGAGAGTGGGGTGGGGTGGGCATCTCAACAAACCAATCAACTATAAATAAAAATATCAGCTGTAGAAAGCAACACCTGTTGAATAACAAAAACAAACTACCAGGTTTACCCAGAAATGCCTCAATTTAGGTGGAGCAGAAGTTCCGTGGATCACTCTCGCTTTTTTTTTCGATAGCGCTATACGTGCGGTGCGTTAAGAATAGTCTCTATCCCTGGTGAGCGCTGAGTTTTAGCTCATAGATCTGTATAAGTACCACAGAACGGGAAAGAGAACTCTGGCCGTCCACCCTGAAAGTTTACATCGCTCCTGGTATGGCAAAGTTTAGATTGCTGTGGGTGAGATTTGGAAAACATTTAATTCATAGGGTAAAATAGGGACAGGGAAACCCTGAAGCCATCCACATAGTGGTAGCTTCGCATTTTGTTTATAGTTTACATTCTCGGAATTATCAACTATCAGTTGTAAGCAAAGCAGGAATTTGGGAGCTATCACAAGATACGGGGGCATATGATGGCAGTGTCTAAAACCCCGTCAGGCATCTTTGTTTTTGTTGAGAACAAGACTAAGCCTTAGGCGGGGAGGAGAGACTTCCGGAAGCGTGAGCATTTTCCATTTTCCCCGGCGTTTCTGCCCCTACTAAGCGTCCTCAAGAGGATGCCCCCGTATCTTGCGATAGCGCCGGAATTCCCTTATATAGACTAAATATTGCCCTCATTAATAACCCTGAGGACTGCCACCATTGCAGCCATAATAGCTATACCCTACCCGTTGTGCTTCCTCAACAGAACAAGTGGATAACTTGGGATATCCCCTCATAATGGATCTTACAGTTAGAGAAACCCAATCACCTAAATGACCTATGGAAGGCGTAAAAATGGCTGGAAGCTCTTTAGCAGCTGGTAGTTGAGCGCTATACAGAACAACACCTGGAGAATTTATGACAGGCTGTTCAGCCCGCGAAGATTGCTTTTCCCAGTACTCGTTACCTCCCACCTCCCACCCCCGCCTCCCTCTTGCTTCGTCAACATTTGTTTTATGTGATAAGTACTATTGATAGCAGGCTCCCCGTGTCTTCTTGCAAAAATTGTAACACCTGCAACCCTCCCGAGCTGTCTCTCAAGCCAAAACCGAACTGATATCGGAACTCAGAGTTTCTTCCTTCAAAGATTCCGAGGAAATAACCTTTTAAGAGGTTCAAATGTTCTCGAATGTAGTACAACGAATGATTGTTTTTATCTTTATGTGCATAAAATTTATGTTCGGGCAAGATATTGCAGTCGAACCCGAACGAATTGAGCATAATACACAATGGACAATCGCGGACGAGTAGGAAGAATTTAGAAGCACTTGCGATGGACGATGGATGGGCCGGACTCGTCGTATTCTTGCTTGGAGATCCACATCTGTTGGAAGGTGGACAGGGAGGCGAGGATGGATCCTCCGATCCATACTGAGTATTTGCGCTCAGGGGGAGCGATGATCTTGATCTTCATTGTGCTGAAAAAAATGCATAAATTATATGGAAAAGCAGCTCTGGAACAGCATCTTAAATAATTTTGAAGGCGGATTTACTTTTTGGGGCGAGGGCGGTCATTTCCTTCTGCATACGATCAGCAATACCAGGGTACATGGTGCTACCGCCGGACAGGACAGTGTTGGCGTACAAGTCCTTACGGATATCGATATCGCACTTCATGATTGAGTTGTACGAGTTCTCATGGATACCAGCAGATTCCATACCAATGAAGGAAGGCTGAAAAAATTCTTTTGTGTGTGCGGGACAAGGACGAGGAACAGTCGTTCCAGAAGTGTTAGCTGACCTGGAACATGGCCTCGGGGCAACGGAATCGCTCGTTTCCGACAGTGATGACTTGTCCGTCGGGAAGTTCGTAGGACTTCTCGAGGGAAGAGGAAGAGGCAGCGGTGGCCATTTCCTGCTCGAAGTCGAGGGACGTAGCAGAGCTTCTCCTGAAGAAGTGTTAGTGAAAATGCAGACATCACCTAGTCACTATGTCATCTGAACATTTTTTTTACCTTGATATCTCTGACAATTTCACGCTCGGCCGTGGTTGTGAACGAGTAACCACGCTCAGTGAGGATCTTCATCAAGTAGTCAGTAAGATCACGTCCGGCAAGGTCAAGACGGAGAATAGCGTGGGGAAGGGCATAACCCTAAAGTCAACATATAACGTTTTTTTTGCAAACCCAGCATGCCACAAGTCTCACCTCATAGATGGGGACAGTGTGGGTGACACCATCTCCAGAGTCGAGCACGACTCCAGTGGTACGTCCGGAGGCGTACAGGGAGAGCACAGCCTGGATAGCGACGTACATGGCGGGGTGTTGAAGGTCTCGAACATGATCTGGGTCATCTTTTCTCTGTTGGCCTTGGGGTTAAGAGGAGCTTCAGTCAAGAGGACTGGGTGCTCTTCTGGGGCAACACGAAGCTCATTGTAGAAGGTGTGGTGCCAGATCTTCTCCATATCATCCCAGTTGGTGACGATACCGTGCTCAATGGGGTATTTCAGGGTGAGGATACCTAAAAGTGGATTGATTCAGTGGTCACCCTCCTGTGTTGGGTCAAAGTGTTACCAACCTCTCTTGGACTGAGCCTCGTCTCCTACGTACGAGTCCTTCTGTCCCATACCGACCATGACACCCTGATGACGGGGTCGGCCGACGATGGAGGGGAAGACAGCTCGAGGAGCGTCATCTCCGGCAAATCCGGCTTTGCACATTCCGGATCCATTGTCAACCACAAGAGCAGCAACCTCGTCGTCACACATTTTGGCTAGCTGGAATTTTATGCGTTTGGATATACCGGACGAGACAGAGGTTAGGACGAGAACGAGCTGGAGTTCAAGAGTATGAAGCTAAACACCCGTTTTGGGGAACTATGGATAATACAAAAGAAATCCCTTCATGGGGTAGGTTGGTGTACCCCTACTCTAAGTTGACCTAGTATTTCCTCAAAAATGGGTTCACATGGAAATTAGGGGCATTATATACTGATCTCTACTACAGAACTAATCCACTATATTCACCCGTCATCATTGGAAGGTTAAGGGATTTCGAAAACTGTCAAAGGCGTAGAAGTCCCCACAGGTTGAACGGAGTAAGACGGAATGCGAAGAGCTGAGCTCCAAGACGGTGAATTCAGGAAGATGTGGGGAGCTTATATACTAGTATCTTGCAACTACATTGCAGGAACGACGAAGAAGAAAAACAGCGTGAGTGGGAGAATTCCCAGTAGTGCTGAAAAGCCGCCAGCCAAGAAGCATGCATCTCGTAGAAGTGGCACTGGGCGGTTGTGGGATCGCAGGATGAAGAGGGCGGCGCCGTTGGCGTGGTTCGTGGAACTCGGCGTATCTTTAGCGCAACTGTTCTTGGCTTGCCGGGGCCAGCCGCGATGTTCAAGCCACTATTTTCCCACTTATATTTAATTTTTACACAAATCACCTACATCAGAGGGTTGGACTATTCAATAAGTTACCTTTATATTTAGTTTACCACCAGTACATTCACTACCACTGCTAAACCCTATAGAGACCTCAGATTTTCCGAGGAAAATGCTTTTTCATTGATCAAGCACTTTTGCCATGGCACGTTTCATGAAAATGGCTCTTGAAGAGCACTTCCTCAGCGATTCTTGTGCAGGTAAGAGGTGAGGTTCCCATCCGCAAAGGCCAGTGCCGTTTGTGCCAAGGGCTCAATATGGGTGTGAGCTTCCAAGCAGGGTCGGTCGTTGGGACTTTTTAAAAAAATTTTATGACCCCCCCCTTTCATGAGAGATTTCATACGACCCCTTCTCCTTCACTTCTTTTCCTTGGTACTTGTCCCAACGTAGTGTTGACCCTGCTCCCAAGGCCTCCACTAGTTACAGAACACTAGCTTCCTGACTAATTTACTTA